CAACCTCTTTTCCTCTGTCTCTGCTATTCTAAGTCTGGGAGACTTATAATATACTTCCTAGAAGGACTTATGCTGAGCCTTTCTCATTGAAAATCAAAAGTGTGCACATAAACTCAATAAAGAGATGTGATTAATGTTTTGCTAGGAACAGCAGGACACCCTGTTGTTGGCTAAAAGGATCAGGACAATAAGATATCTTTTCCCGTGCCAGAGTGAAGCTCCTGTTCCTAGACTCTGCAGAGAGTGAACAATGTGTTTCACCCTGGGGTAGGGGGGAGGGACATTTTGTCTATTAGGTCTTCTTTCCCAATCCGCTTGGTGTACTATTGTCCTTCCTTATTGCTAGGGCCCTACCAAATTCATGACCAAAAAAACGCATCACAGATTGTGAACTCTGATCTCCCCCCATGAAATCTGGTCTTTTGTGTGCTTTTACCCTACACTACAGATTTCACGGGGGAGACCAGCGTTTCTCAAATTTGGGGTCCTGACCCAAAAGGGAGTTGCAGAGGTCACAAGGTTATTTTAGGGGTGGTCATGGTCAGTGTTCCCTCTAATTTTTCCCACCCATGTGCGGAATGAATTTGTTATGTGCACCAATATGGAGGTGATGTGTGACACATCACCTTCAAATTGGTGCACATAACAAAATTCATGTGGTGGAGGGGTTTGGAGTGTGGGTGGGGGCTCAGGGCTGGGGCAGAGGGTTAGGGTGGGGGGAGGGGTCCAGCTGGGGGTGTGGGCTCTGGGGTGGGGCCGGGGATGAAGGGTTTGGGGTGCAGGAGGGTGCTCTGGGGCTACCAGACGTCTCCCCCCCAACTCTCTCCCCACAGCAGCACCTGGGCTGGGGGGAGAGGCACCTCTCCCCGCCATGGATGCTCCGAGGCTGGGGCTGCAGGATAGGCGCCTCTGGCCCAGCTCTCGGCCCCCGCAGGTCCGGGCCAGGGCTGGGTTGAGGGAGGGGTGCCCCTGATGGGTTTGGGTTGAGCCGCCCGGGTCTGGGCCAAGCGGGCCGGGCCACCCGGGTTCGGGGCCAAGCCGGACTGCCATGGTTAGGTCTGAGCCTGGCGGGGCGGGGCGGGCCGGGCCGGGCCGGGCTGGGCCGCCCCATGGCTGGGCTGCACTGCCCTGTGCCACGTGGCCACAGCTGGGGCTGGGCTGCACCGCGCCACCCCGGCTGGGTTCAGGCTGGGGTAGGGGTGCCCCAGCCATGGCAGGTCCGGGATGCAGCATAGTTGGGGTCCGGGGGCCGCCCCGGCCATGGCAGGTTGGGGGCTGGGCTAGGTTGTGGCCGAGGCAAGGGCGCCCCTTCCCCAGCCCTGGCAGATCCGTGGGTGGGTTCCCTGAGTGCCTGCGCAGCGCTAAATAGGCTGCTGCACGGCCGCGCAGCTTACAGGGAACTTAGGTCACGGTATTCCCACCCTTACTTACGGACTGCCTTCAGAGCTGGGTGGCTGTAGAGTGGCGGCTGTTGGCCGGGTGCCCAGCTCTGAAGGCAGTGCCCTGCCAGCAGCAGTGCAGAAGTAAGGGTGGCAATACCATACCATGCCATCCTTACTTCTCCGTTGCTGTTGGTGGTGGCTTTCCCCCCGTCAGCAACCGCCGCTTTCCAGCTGCCCTGTTCTGAAGGCAGCACCGCTACCAGCAGCCGTGCAGAAGTAAGGGTAGCAGCACTGCAACCCCCGCTACAATAAACTTGTGCCCCCCTCCCCGCAACTCCTTTCTGGGTTAGGACCCCGACAATTACAACACTGTGAAGTTTCAGTTTTAAACAGCTGAAATCCTGAAGTTTGCAATTTTTAAAATCTTATGACCGTGAAATTGACCAAAATGGACTATGACTTTGGTAGAGGCCTACTTATTGCTGCTAATAGCAGCCTAGCAGGAACATCTTGGCTGAAACAACTTCTGCAGTTTAGCACAAGACCCTAAAAGGCTATCTGCCATTCAGAAAACTGCAGCCGTCAAAATAAAAGTCAGTCTTCTGAAAAGCCCAAGAATCTGCATTTGTTTCCTGGTTTGGTTTTGTCATTTATCAAACTCACAGTGGCGGACAGGTGGCACTGGGAGCAGACTAAGCTGTTTCTTATTAGGAGCACTTACCATGGGACTTATGGAAGGATAATTGGAAAGCCAGATGTAGCCGACTGTCCAGGCTGCTGAGGTCTCTTTTTCTTGACCTCAACCGATTAGCTGTGAAACAAGGGCATATGTCCTCAATCCTCTCTCTAGGTCAAGGATGCTACTCCTCACAAAGCTAATCAAAAAAGGAAGTTACTGGGGCAGGTGGGCGGCAAGGGGGATTGCATCTTTTTCTGTCACACTGCAGTGGAAATAGGGTGACCAGATCACCCAAGTCAAATATCGGGACGCGGGGGGTGTGGCGGGTGGGGGGGGGCAAAAAAAACCCCACCCTTCCTCCACAAGCGCTGGAGGGAGGCCCGGGAGACGCAGGGGAAGCGCGGGGCCAGGGTGAGTGAGAGTCCGGCCTGGCCCCGAGTAGGCAGGACTCAGTCGGGCGGTAGGGAGAGTAGGGGGGCGGCCCGCGGGGCCAGGCGGCGGCTGTTTTCCCCCCCCAGGGCAGCGGGACTCGGGAGCAGCCACTGCTGCAGGAGGATGGCCAAGCTCGGCGGCTGTGGCTCTGGCGCCCGGGCCCGAACCCATCGAGCCTGGGCCTGCTGTGGGGACCCTGGCTGCCCAGCTGGTGCAATCCCGCAGGCGGCCCCGGAGTGGGGGCAGCAGGCCCGCTCGGGTCCCGCAGGGGAACGAACGGACCTGGGCTGCCGATGCCTCCGCCCCGGGGCCGCCGTGGGATTGCACCAGCTGGGCAGCAGCCCAGACGTGACTGGCCAGGGGCTGGGCGCAGCGTGCGCGCTGCTGGGTCCCTGGAGCAGGCCCGGGCTCGGGGGGTTCGGGCCCGGGCGCCAGAGCCGCAGCCGCCGAGCTTGGCCATCGGCCGGTTCCTCCAGCCGCGGCAGTGGGAGCTGCAGCAGCGGCTGCTCCCGAGTCCCGCTGCCCAGTGGGGGAGAACAGCCGCCGCCTGGCCCCACAGGCCGCCCCCCTACTCTTTCTACCGCCCGACTGAGTCCTGCCTGCGCTCGGGGCCAGGCCGGACTCTCACTCACCCCGGCCCCGCGCTTCCCCTGTGTCTCCAGGGCCTCTCTCCACAAGCACCGGAGGGAGGAGGAATGGTGAGCCTGGGGAAGAGGCGGGGATTCGGGGAGGGAGCCAATGGGGGGAGGAGGGGGCGGAGTCAGGGCGGGGCGGCGGGGGGCGCGAGCACTTCCCGGCTCCGGAGCATTTCCTTGTTTGTCCAGTGTCCCGACTGCACATCAGTCGGGACGCGGGACAAACAAGGAAATATCGGGACAGTCCCGATAAAATCGGGATGTCTGGTCACCCTAAGTGGAAATCAATGGTATCTCAGAATGGATGGAACTGAGAGAGAGTGAAAATGCTTGCCTGAAAGACAGTGGTAATAACCTATTTGGGCAATAAGCTGTAAAGCAGTGAAAACATGGGCTAATATTTGTCACATAGAATATCAGGGTTGGAAGGGACCTCAGGAGGTCATCTAGTCCACCCCGCTGCTCAAAGCAAGGCCAATCCCCAAATGGCCCCATCAAGGATTGAATTTACAATGCTGGGTTTAGCAAGCCAATGCTCAGACCACTGAGCTATCCCTCCCCTCACCAAGTACTGATTTTGCATCAGATCCCTAAGTGGCCCCTGCAAGGATTGAACTCACAACCCTGGGTTTAGCAGGCCAATGCTCAAACCACTGAGCTATCCCTACCTAATACACATTGTCTAAACTCATTGTCTCCTTATGGAACTTAAATTCATATTTAATTTCATTCTGTGAGAAAGGTACCTTTCTAAAGTGCCACTGGAGGGGCAGCCATGTTTAGGTCCTGAAGGATGGGAAGAAATGTGCTTCTTCCATGGCATGAAGTTAGATCAAAGAACTCCAGCAAAGTTAATACCATTAACACAAATCTAAACTCTTGTCAATAACCACTGGAAATGTACTGGAAAACTGGAGTTTCTATAGCGATACAAAGACCTAACAGAAATTTGGACAACACTGTGCATTTACTGTGTTAGGGAAAGCTAGAAATATGAACTTCAATTCAAGGAGGACCTAGAATTTGGGATGCATGAAAACTCTAAGCCTGTATTCTTTCTAGGGCACTAAGGCTTCAGTTCTCTTAGGAGCTTCATGTGGGTGGATCTCTGCACCTGCGTGGAACTCCTTGCAGGATCAGGGCCTAATACTGTACTTCTCCAGCCCAGCATACCTCTCTAAGTGCCTCTTCTCTGCTCCCTAATTAAAACAAGCCTTTATTAAAACAAGCCTTCAAGATAGCAGCAGAGGAAGGGTTCACTGAACTCTTCAGAGAGAAACCTCAGCTCTCTGTTAATTGACAGTACCATGCTTGTCATTGATGAACCTGGCTGAGCAACAAAAACTTTGGGTCTTAGGATAAGAAATTGAATTTTCCAAGCAAGTTCCTAAATTACCCATTTTTGTTATCTCCCGCAGCCATTTGCCCAGCCTTAATCCCAGACATGTTGCACTGTAAAGATGGAGCAATGTCATCTGCCAACTAGACTAATTGCAAAGAGCACTCAGCCAAAGAAGACATGCTTCGCCCAAAGCGAAGGGCGTACTCACAGCAAGGCATCAGTGCTGCTGCCAAGAGGTGGAACTATTTCTCTTCCTTTTTAACACAGGAGAAAAAACCACTGGAAAAACCTATATGGTTTCCTTGCTAAGGACTAGGTGCTCACTAATTCTAGCAATATGGGCTGTAATTTAATTATATATAGTAAATAATATTTGTATAAAAACAAGACTGGCCAAAAAGTAAAACCACATCAGATAGTGTTATTGCTCCTCTGGAAATGCTGCTGCTGACTTGGTACCCCTCCTTAGTCTTTTTTCAGTAACTCACCCACAGCCTGCATCACACAAAAATAGAGAGAAAGACACTTACGGGAGGGCCTCGGGGACCGATGATGGACATGCCTGCTTCTCCAGGGGTTCCCTGCAGAGAGACAGAGGCAGAAAAGGTGTGAGAAAAGGAAGATTAAAAAGGAAAAAACTGGAAGGCAAGGAAGCAGAAGAAGGAAAGAGGAAGAGAGAGATGTGAAAGCGTCAGTGAGAAGACAAAAGAGAGCAAAAAGTGAGATGAAGAAAAGAACAAGGCTGGATAATGAATCAGTAGAGGAGAGAGAGGTGATTGCATGAGATAATGAGGAGGAGGAAGAAAGACAGTTAAGGAAAAGAGATCAAAATAATCAATATTCACATTCTCTATAGAGACCATGATTAAATTGTGATTGATTAGAGCCCTTCCCACCTGAGATAAAAACGCTCCTTGGCCTTTCTTGCTCATGAGAGGAGGCCATTTTGAAGTGTCCCATCCCCCTTAAGAGATGGTACCACTATGAGTCCCTTTGGTGAGGAACATGAGATCTCATCTCATGCCTGCATACTCCCCATGCCCTGAGAGCACACATTTGCCTCCCCTCTATTTGATCACTCTTGTTCGGCCTGAAGCTTCACCCGCCCTAGTCTAGGGATTGAATAATGCAGAGAGGCATAGCTAGGAGTAAAGCTGTGCTGTATAAGGGGAAAATGAGATGTTCAGCAAGGAAAATTATAGACACATAAAATACCTTTTGGATCAAATGCAACACAGAGGCCCTGACCTCTTGTGATTATTAAAGATCCTGTGACACTTTTAGTAAGTGCTGTTACGCTCAAGCCCTGGGTAAACTCTAATTCAGGTCATGACATTTTGCCCCCCTAAATTTCCTTTGTGAAATTGAATTGATGATAGTGATGTTCATTTCCTTTTCCGGTCTATTGCTGTGTGCTTTTTAAACAGATTTCACATCTCACCCCAGATGCATCTGCATTTCAATGGCAGCTCTATACCCAAAATGTACACACTTTATCAAGTTTATGAAGCGGTCAGGGTGCCTTTGGAGTGAAAGGTACAATGTAACAGTAAGACATAAGATCACTATTAGAGTGGAATAGTCTCCTGAGGTCAGTTGTGAAAGCACCATCACTGGAGATATTAAAATACTGGCTGGTTAACCCAGCTCTGAATATACAAGGGAGACCACATTGTATATCACAGGGTAGGGCAAGGACAGGGAGACAGATTGCATAAACCGCAAGGTCTTTTTCAACTCTAGTACTTATGATTTTATGACTGGATCAAATGAGATTTAGTGATCAGATTGGAATTTGAAAGTTTAGGTCTAAAGTAAACGAAATAAATCCATGTGGAAGCAGCTTAATGTACTGTACCCAGAAATAAGTGGCTTGGTCAAACCTGTTTCGAAAATAAGTAGGGACTGACATGGAGACAAAATGTTCTTATGACTTAATCATGTATTGTATGCAATGATAGACATTTATGGTACGTCTATACTGAGCTAAGAGACCCGAGGCACAACTGCAGCTGGCCTGAGTCAGCTGACTTGGGCTCACAGGGCTTGGGCTGTGGGGTTATAAAACTGCAGTGTAGACCTTTGGATTCAGGCTGAAACACTGCCATAGGGACAGTTCTGCCAGCCAAACACCACTGGAATGCAGTGTAAACTGGCCATGCCCCTTCCCAATGCCCTGGGTTCACCCCAGTAAATATCTTTACCATTCCTTCTCTCTGGTCACTCACTGCAGAGGAGGGATGTGCTGCTATGGAAACTTTTCCACTGCACAAGACACCTTCTGTGTTCAAATGCAGGGATAGGCCTAAGCGTCAATGGCCTCATCCAGATTTAAGTAGCAGCTTTCCCTGTGTTGAGATGTTCTGATCTGAGGTTCTACTTTGGTAGATTAATAGTGTTAAAGAGCGACATTAATTACTGAAGAAAGACTAGCATACTTAGTACATGGCTCTAAAGAAGTTACTTTCTCTTTAAAGGGAGTAAACTTTATTCACTGGACTTGGAAACAGGATTTTAAGTCACAGAAAGACAAGTGTTCAGAGAGAAGAATGATCTGGCTGCAAAAAGGAGGGACAGCCTCTCAGTTTTCCTCAATTAAAAGTGAAAGAAGAGTAGCAGTGATTTGGGGAAGAATGTTCTAACTACCTAAAGAAAAGAAGAGAGAAACTGAGCGAAGAAAGCAAAAGTAAAAATGGGGAACTTTGGGCAACTTAGAGGCAGCTGTGACCTGCCATGACCTGGGGAGTGGAAAAGTCCTGTTTGTAGCTATTTATAAAAGGCATTCATTTTGGATTAAGAAAAAAACAGTAAAGTTCTTCCCGGAAAAATAGAAGCCGTCAAAGATTCACGGCAAACCCAGGTCATATGACTGGCAGACTATCTCAATGTGTTTTATAATACACAATACATGACTGATAGTCACAGATGATAGATTTCAAGGTCAGAAGTGACCATTATGATCATCTAGTCTGACCTGCATAACACAGCCCATCAAACTTCCCCCAAAATACTTACTAGAGCAGATCTTTCAGAAAAATATCCAATCTTGATTTACCCAGAGTTGGGGAATCCACCACGACCCTGGGTTAGTTGTTTCAATGGTTAATTACTCTCATTGATTAAATGTACCCCTTATTTCCAGTCTCAATTTGTCTAGCTTCAACACTGGATCACGTTATATCTTTCCCTACTAGACTGAAGATCCATTATTAACTATTTGTTCCTCGTGTAGGTACATTTAGACTGCAATCAAATCACCCCTTAACCTTCTCTTTTTTAAGCTTAATAGTCGAGCTCCTTAAGTCTATCGCTATAAGGCGGGTTTTCTAATCCTTTAATCATTCTCATGGCTCGGCTCTGAACCCTTTCCAAGTTATCAACATCCTTCTTGAATTGTGGACACCAGAACTGGATACAATATTCCAGTTACAGCTGCACTAATGCCAAATGCAGAGGTAAAATAATCTTTTTACTCCTACTTGAGATTCACCTGTATATGCATCCCAGGATTTTCATTAGCCGTTTTGGCCACAGCATCACACTGGGAGTTCATGTTCAGCTGATCACCACAACCTCCAAATCTTTTTCAGAGTCACTGCTTCCAAAATTCCCCATTATGTAAGTACGGCCAAAATGGATACTGTTTTCTTGTGCCCAGTTTACCAGGCAATCCAGATTGCTCTGTGTCGGTGACCTGTCCTCTTCGTTATTTACCACTCCCCCAATTTTTGTATCATCTGCAAAATTTATCAGTGATGATTTGATATTTCTTCCAGGTAATTAATAAAAATGTTAAATAGCATTGTGCCAAGAACTGATCCCTGCAGGACCCCACTAGAAATATATCCATTCAATGATGATTTCCTATTTACAATTACATTTTGAGACCTACCAGTTAGACAACTTTTAATCCACTTAATGAGTGCTATGTTAATTTTATATTGCTCTAGTTTTTTAATGAAAATGTCATGTGGTACCAAGTGAAATGTCTTACAGAAGTTTAAGTATATTATGTCAACTCTATTACCTTTAACAGCCAACTTGTTATCTCACCAAAAAAGATATCAAATTAGCTTGACAGGATCTATTTTCCATAAAGTCGATTGGCATTAATTATATTACCCTTGCTTAATTCTTTATTAATCAAATCCCATATCTGCTGCTCCATTATCTTGCCCAGGACTGATGTGAGATTGACAGGCCTATAATTACCTAGGTTATCCCGTTTACGCTTGTTAAATATTGGCACAATATTAGCTTTCTTCCACTCTTCTGCAACAGCGCCCCCATCTTCTAAGACTTATTGAAAAATCAATATTAATGGTCCAGTGATCTCCTCAGCCAGCTCTTTTAAAACTCTTGGATGCAACTTATCTGGACCTACTGATTTTAAAATGTTCATCTTTAGTAGCTGCTGTTTAACTTCCTCTTGAGATACTAGTGGAATGGAAAGAGTGTTATTATGTGATACAACTACATCATCTGCCAAGGGGGCTTTGGCATCTTGGATGATTTGATAATGCTGATTGGCTACCAGGAGGATCCAAACAGGGGACAAGAGGGAATGACCTGAAGAAGAAAAGGAAGGAGAAGAAGAACAACCAGGTTTTCATCCTGCCTTGCCCTTTCTTCCTATGGTATGTCACTGTTTTGCTCCCTATCTTTTTCACCGAGGTCTGAACAGGTTTGCCAATACCATAATCTTTACAGATATTTCCTCAAACAATGGGGTGAACATCTAGACATTTCCTAATTTCTGCACATTTTGCTGTTCATTTTCCAATTAATTAGATGCTGCCTGAATCGATCCAAGGCACTTCTGTCCCTCTTCTATCTTTCCCTTTTGAGTGTATGATGTAGTGGCATCTGAAGACATAAAGTGTTGACTGACGTTGAATATTTCATGACATTTGTGTCACCAATGTGACATATTAGTGGCTTTGTAAACTACCAGCTCTATGTAGGGACAAAAAACTCATTCAATACTTTTCAAATAGTTTAGGCAACCTCTCAGAGAGACAGGAAGTACTGCAGGGTCTTTTTTCTTTAAATGGAGAAGATATGATTGAAGTAAAAAAGTGTATGTGTGTGGGGTCATGGCCATATCTTTCCTGTTTCCCGCCGTGTTTTTTCACTATGCGACTAACCCTGGAATGGAGGTGATGAGCCATGGTCTGTGACCAGAGGAATGGTGAATAGGAGAAGCCCAGCACATAGGAACTGGATGGGCCATTAGGACATAGCTGTTATATCTTATCACATTTGCATATGCACATTTCCTGGACTTACCAGGCACAGCTGTCAGCAGTGAAGAAGCTAATGGTTAAAAAACCACAAAGGCCCAGCTGGAAATATTGAGTGTGCCCATCCACCTCTGGAAGTCAGCCCTTACAATGTTAGTAAATTATAGTAAACAAAAAATTCAACATCCTCAGATGCTGTGTGGGCTGGAAGGAATTCAAGAGATGAGCTCACATTGTGAGAGGAGAGGGGTGGGGCAGTTCAGATCCATGTGTGGTTTAGACACACGGAGGGCTTTAAAGGCACAGCTCTTCAATTGTTGTGATTTGAAGTGAAGGGATTTCAGGCGGCTGAGAGAGGTCAGGGTATGACATGATGAGCTGGAAAGAGCTGACTCACCTTCTCTCCGGGTTGCCCCTTTAGTCCCTGGGTCAATTACACCAGTCGCAGCCGCATGCAAAAGGATGAAGGGGAGAGAGAAAGAGACACAAACACAGGAATCAGTGTTAATGGCACACTAAACCCAAACACAAAACAACACAACAAAAAACAGGTCACAGACACTGATGCATGCTCTGTTTAAGGTTCACACACAAGCACAATGACCTTTGCTTTTCCCCCTTCCACTGCCATCAAGATCAGCTGTCCTGGCAATGTCTCAGAGGAAGGGCAGCTGAGAGAGGTGGCAGCTGAAATTGGGTTTTCAGCCAGCGTGAGAAAATCAATTCTTGATTTTAACAAGTGGTGGTGGTGGTGGGGAAACTGAAGCTGTGTGTTAGTGATAAGCTCGCCATAGTTAGCAAGGCTGGCTCAGAGTTCAGAGACATCAGCTCACAAGTAAGTGAGGCAGCAGCAACAGACCTGACAAGGAACCTTGGCACAGCTGCCACCAGGGATGATAGTCCTTGGGTGGGATTAGCCATGGTGGTCAGAACAGTAGCTGAAGATGGATTTGGCTAACAGTCAGTCCACACTGGCCAAGTGGCAGGAGTTCCTGGCCAGCCTTTCAATGTGTGAGACAGGAGGGTCATTGAGGCAAGGCAGAGGAGGATAAACGGATGAATGTACTGGGAAGAAGGTATCTGACTGAATGGGAGGGTGGGGCATGGGAAATATATTTAATTGACAGTCTTCATTACTGAAACAGTAGTAAAATATTGATTTTTTCTCTTCTTTCTCTTCTGCCTGGCTCAAAGAGGGGGAATTAGATATAATATATGGTCTGGCTATGTGAAATCTGTGGGGTAAATGTGCAAAATACATTTAAGTCTTACATACTGAAATATGTTTAATATATTAAGTCACTCCAGGTAGGTTAATTAAAATTAAAACAGGCCTGTTTTATGGTAGGACCTTATTCTACCACCCTTATTTACACTGAGGAGTAACCTACTACATATGGAGTCTCACTGATTTCAGTGGAACTACTCACAGAGTAAGGCTTCACTTAGTATAAGAACGGTAAAGCTGAGTCTTTAATGAACAGAGTGTGTAGGCTTTAAACAGGGGCTCATCTGGAAGTGTTGTGATCTATGTTACCCACCAAAAGTCTCAGGTTTGATTACTAGCTCGTCTTTCACTACTCCGGCGGTTGGCAGGGGCTGGCATTTCTGCACAGCCAGCTTCCTCTGCCTCTCAGAGGCCTCCTAGCAGGGTCTAAGGGCAGTTTTACTCAGTTCCCCTCTTCTAGCACATACAAATAAGCAGAAAATGAGAGACACCATATAGATTTCTGTCTGTTTTCCATCTCTGTCTAGAGCAGTGATCCTCATAAACTGTGCTACCTTGCGTTATATCCTGTTGTGTCACATTACTGAAAGCAGCAGTTACTTCCAAAGTAATGCTGTCATGGCAACACAACATCAAACCAGAAGGACATCATGAACATGTACTAGCATTGCTTGAATCACCCTGAGTCTGGCAATACAGTAATACTGAAGAGCTAACCCCCTCAGGCATGCCAGGCTCCAATACCAATGAGGCATTGGGAGGAGACATTACTGGAGAGAGAAAGTTACCCAGAGGTATCGCTAAGGAAGTCCTCAACATAGTACATAAAATATAATGGAGCCATAAAACCCTCCCATACTTTGGGGGCTTGGATTAATTGAGACTCAAATCTGAATTACCCTGGCTCATGAGGTTTGTAAAAACCAAGCCACCCAGGGTTATGCCCACCCTACCTGTGGAATTCGCTGACCCTTTTTCTATATTTTTTCCATCACTGCTGATGGCAGTGAGTAGCTGATTATGTCATTAATGTTTATAAATACGTTGAAGATGTAAAGAGTTATTTAATGCCAAGAGTTGTTAATTGTTAATAATATTTGTTGTATTTGTATGTAAAAAGAGAACTTCTCTTCGCTAATCAGCCTCCATAACAAACACTGTGGGCCAGTTCCTGGTGTAAATTCATATAGCTCCACTGGCTTCAATGGAATTGCACTGATTTACACCAGCTGAGGATCTGGCCCTGGATGTGTAATCTCTTATGGCATGACCACTATAGCCACTCTATATTACAGCTGCCTGTGAAATTGCAGGCATCAAACCCAGACACATCTCACTCATCCACACACAGCCTTCCCAAAAGATGTTTAAAGATGTAAAATGTTTTGGGGGAAGATATCCAAATGGTAACTCAGGCGAGCTTAGCTGTGGCAAGCTGAACAGCTGGGAATTGGCAAGGAGTGAAGATAACACAGTTTCCATTCTCTGTCTGAAATGTGGGGTGGTCATAGGGCAGGTGCCTCAGCCAGAGAAAAGCATAAGGATTCAGGACCTATCCACAATTCAGAGTGAACTTATTGGAATGTCACCTCACCCCTGAGGCTGTTATGTTGTCCTCTTTGGAAAGACATCAACATGTATGGGGAATAAAGAGAACAACTCCAGGAAGGGGGAACACAGAACCGAAGGCAGAGCCGCACAATGCAAAGGTGTTTGGGGTGTTGATGTGATGCTATATGACACACGCTGCCCAGCCCTTCTTCAAAGTGTCACTGTTATTTTAAATATGTACTGTATGACCAGAGGGCCAAATTAGAGCCAATGTGCTGGGCAGACATTGTACATTCATAGGCTGAGAAAAGGCTACAAATGTTTATTTGATCTATATCATTTTTTTCAACACACAGATCCGCAGGAGGAGCTTGCCTCTTCTCTGCCTTCAGAGGCACATAGGCAAGTACATTGCAGGCAGCAAGAAACCATCGGCAGCCCACTGCTTGGCACCACTAGAACACATGGTTCTGCAGGGAGCATTCTCAGAATGTAGCCAAGGCCTCCTTCTCAAGAGTCCCATTTAGATTTGGTTTCTGTATGGAAATGTCTCAGGTAAGAGCCCCCTATAGACTTACCAAGGATTCATGCCTCCGTTTTCGGGGTGGAGCCTGGTTACATCACAAATGATAGAACCTGCAGCCTAGAATTTCTAAACCTGGAAACAGATCTGAGTAGCAGTTCATTCAGCTTTATTCATGAGGGAAGCTGCTGCTTTTTCCCTTGTTGTACCCAAACCTTAAAATGGAGCATGGAGCTGGGGGAATCATTTCCCTGAAATAATGAAAGTATCACCCCAAACGACCCACAGGCATCCCAGCTTTCGGAAAAATGTGTGTCAGGTCAGGCAGATGCAAGAGGTTGTAACTCACCGGTCTTCCAGGGATTCCCATGGCGCCTTTGTCTCCCTAACAATTAATGCAAAATCAGACGGCAGTTGGAAACTGACCATAAGCAAGACTACAAAATGACACAAATTAGATGTCACATATGTGTGTATCTTTGATTATTAATTGACTGAGGTGTGTGTGTGTAGGTGCACATATGTTGACTCATGATATATACATATATTTAAAGCATGTTCATATGTTTGTATGTATCTTTGAACATATGTGTAAGCATGTGGGTATGGATGTGTATGTAAGTCATCAGTACAATTCCTTGCTATATAGGCACAAGGAACCAACAAAGCACAACCATTTAGAAAGGAAAAAAAGGCAAGAGTTTGTGATCCAACTATGAATCTAATCATAATTTCAACACTTTCTATAATCCAGCTGCTGGGAAACTGCTCCCTTCAGTACCTAATTATCACAATTTTCTCTTTTTTTCCAAGGAAATCTGAATGGTAGCTATTTATTTACAGAGCTGTTACCACTTAAGATAGAACTCTCAGAGACCATGAACAGGTCCACATTTTCCAGTAGTCCAGAAAAGGGAAAGTTATACTAATGTGGATAACAAGCTAACACAGGAAATGGCGTGTCTAGCACAATGTATATTAATGGCTGTGTTCTGTGTCTCTTAACTGTAGAGAATGCTGCCCAGTGCATCTTTAGGGTGTGAAAATCATCAAGTGAGGTTGCATGAATGTGCCTGCCTAAGAATGTATGAGACAATACTTGAACTGAATGGCAAAGACACATGGACACAAAGCCATTGGCTTATTCTTAGCCATTTATATAGATTTTAGTTCTGAATCTTAAAGAATATTTTTATTATTTAACTATAGAATTAAAAAAAACTCTGTATTTTTGGTCACAAAAAGTGAATGGTTATGCAGACTTAGAGAGCAGTATGCTGATGCTGAGAGGATACAGAACTATTTATGGTGTCCATTGTTTTGTGGATTTCGCTGCACAATTTGCAAAAATGACATTGTAAAATCTCTCAGTATTGTTTCTGATCATCAATTTGGTTTTTTCCTAAGTTTCACTATGAAAAAAAACCCAATGTTTCTGTTGTACCGTCTCATATATTTTCACCATAATACTGTTTTCTGAGAAGATTGATTTCTGCAGCACCTGACAAGAACATAGACAATGTAGGAGGCTGCCTCAAGGGGAAAACATGAGGGGATGAGGGGAAAACAACCCTAACTGTGTCACCCTACATGAAATCGTTGAGCCTCTTCTGTCATTATCGCTTTAATCATGGCAATGAGCCAGAACCTTAGTTCGGTGTCTATTAGTGATCAATACGAGTTAGGGATACATACTGATTACACAGGTAACTCTGCTGAGGAAAATAATCTTTGATGTTGGTAAATGTTCAGAAATTCTTTTTTCCCCAGCAGTGTCTGTAATCAAATGAGAATATAAAACAATACTGATGGTCATTTTTCTACTGTGACCTGCCAATTCGCTCTGCTATCCAGTGATGGAACTGCAAAAAGCTGTGTGGAGAAAAAGCAAAATGGAGAAGACTGTCTTGAAATCTGGGGAGTGGGCAGATTATTTCTCGCCATTCAAGGAATGCACTTTGCCACCACTGTTGCTCAGTAACCTTTCTTTGCTCCCTGTCTGTACCTAATAATACTGTAGATTAATATTCTAAATACACTTCAATATGCACAAGATCTAAATGTAATGGAGTAAAAAGTATTTAGAGGTTTAACAACTCCATAGTTATAGACAAGTGCTATTCCATAATCAATGGGCATTTCTTTCACGTACGTGTGTTGATAAATCAAAAAGCCATATCTCTGCTGCAGCAGTTATACTTCAGGTGATTTACACAAGCAGTTTGATTAAATTTACATAGATGGTATGTGACTGCAAAGTAAAAGGAGACAATATCTATTCTATTTCATCCCATTCTGGTTTTCATACTGCACCCATCAACATGCTATTTGATCTATCTATCTATCTATCTATCTATCTATCTATCTATCTATCTATCTATCTATCTCTGTGTCTAGGTGCTGTACATGGTTTATTCAGAAAACAATGGAATTTCTCCATAAGGGACAGGAAATTCATTGCCTTGCTCCTTGATTTCTTGGCTTCTGCTTGCAGGGCCAGCTCTGGCTTTCTGGCCGCCCCAAGCAAAAAACAAAACAAAACAAAAAAACCGCGGCGGCCAGAACAGAAAAGCAAAAAAAAAAAAAAAAAACCTGCGGTGCGGCCAGAGCCAGGGTGCAGGGGGACTCCCTGCCCTGCAGATGTGCCCCAGCTAGCGGGGGGAGGGGGAGGGAGGGAGGTGAGAGAGAGAAGGGGGGCGGCCAGGGCTTCAGCAGGGCACTGCCACACGGCCCCTCCCGCCGTGCCCCCTGCCGGGAGAGCTCCGCACCGCTCCGGTCGGCTGGGAGGGAAGGACGCGGGCTGCCGTGCCGGGCTTGCTGCAGGGCGCTCCCGTCCTCCACGCCGCTGCCCCCTACAGGGCGGCCGGAGCGGAACAATAACAACAACAAAAAAGCGGCCGTGCCGCCCTAGG